AGGAAATGTGTTCTGCCCGGTTTGGTTCTTTTCAGAAACCATAGAGCCTTGGTGGCGCAGTGGTTAGAGTGCAGTACTGCAGGCTATTTCTGCTGCTTGCTGGCTGACTGCAATTTGGCAGTCTCACCAGGTTCAAGGTTGACTCAGCCTTCCATCCTTCCGAGATGGGTTAAATGAGGACCCAAATTGTTGAGGGCAATCGCCTGACTAAACCGCTTAGAGAGGGCTGTAAAACAGTATATAAGTCTAAGTGCTATAAGGCAACTCTCAGTCAATTGCATTATCATATTAAAAGCCACATTTAAAACACTGTGACATACAATAAAGAATGTGAAATATGCTTTTTTTTCATTTAAGCTACTTAGAATCTTTTGGTTCCAGGTCAGACTGCAAAGTAATATGATCAAAAATATTTTTAAGATCAAATAAAATATTCAGCATATTCAGTAATAAATTATTTTTTGTGTCATAAAATAACATTTGTAAATGTACAGTAGATATACCGTATTTTTTGGAGTATAAGATGCACCTTTTTCCCCTCAAAAAAGAGGCTGGAAATCTGGGTGCATCTTATACATTGAATACAGCATTTTTTGCCTCCGAAACCCCACCCTCTTCACCAAAATGACCGTGTAGAGCCTTTAGGAGCCTTTCAGAGTGCTCCTGGGGGCTGGGGAGGGCAGAAATGGGTGAAAAATGGGCCTTTATTTTTGCTAATTTACCCCCCAGCCCCTAGGAGCACTCTGCAAGGTTCCTAAAGGCTATTCATGCCCTTTTTTTGGAAAAGAAAACAGGCCTGTTTTCGTGAAAAACGGGACATTTTTGGGAGGTCTGCAGAGTGCCAAAACTTTTTTTTTAAATTTGCCTCTTCAAAACCTTGGTGCGTTTTATATACTCCGAAAAATACAGCAACTAAAGTTGCCCACCTTTGTAGTATAATTTGTAATGGATCTTTGTGATACAACCATCTTAGTAAAAATAAATGTGCTTTCTATTAGTTTGATCTTTCCTGGTGTGCGGTTGGCAGCAGACAGCCAATTCAGTGATTTTCTGGATGGACTTGGCCCTGCACAGCTAGTAGGACGCCAGACCCTGGCTACTCCAGCAATGGGTAAGAAATGTTGGCATTTGAATAATCACACTCAAACTGAATTGCTCTTGGTCAACCACCTATATCCACTTTAGATTTGTTGGAATAATTTTGATTTAGAATAGATTTGGAGAGGAAGGAAAACACTCATTAAACGTACACACACACACAATCCCACACATCTCAGGGTGGTTATGAGCTGCTGTTGTCGTTTTCTTTAACAGCTGACCTGCGCAGTCACAAGTCCCATTTGTTTTTGCATTGTGTTTATCTAATTCTTACAGCTAAACTATCAGTGCACAAATGATGGGGATTTTCTTTCAAGTAATTTAATGTCTTAGCAACTCAGAGTCACTTCGAAGTGAGATGGGTGGCAAACAAATTTAATAAATAAATATATACCTTGTGGCTAATTCAGTGGTGAAATTCATTTTTTTTTGGCTATCTGTTCTGTGGGCGTGGCTTGGTGGGCGTGACAGGGGAAGGATATCGCAATATCTCCATTCCCTCCCCACTCTGGGGCCAGCCAGAGGTGGTATTTGCCGGTTCNACATACATACATACATACATACATACATACATACATACATATATACACATACAAATATATTGCTTTTCATGGATCTTAGCAGAGCTCGTCACTTGAGCAGTTGATAGTAATTTGCTATCACTTGGTGATGTGAGAGTATCCAGACTGCCACCAGCTACTCTTCCCCCTGCTGAACTTTCCTATATCCCACAATACTGATTTCAGGACCTGTTGTTTGGACTAGCTATCACATAAATAAGGCCGTCACCTTCTTTACAAATGCAACAAAGTACAAGGACAGTTATAGCATATGCATTTAATGGGTTACAAACATTAGTCTATCCTTCTTCCCCCACAATTTTTTCTGTCATGCATGGCCACTGCTGTAGACCAATAGGCAAGATAGAAGGGAATGATGGGAATTTTACTTCAACACAGTTGGTAGGTACCAAGTAGGAAAAGGCTGTTGTGGAAGGACAGTGGCATCTCTAGAAGCATCACAAAGCCAAGATGTTGGCTGCTAATCAAAGCTCAAGCTTTGATGTCACATACCTGCACGAAAGGGGCAGGCTTCACGGGCACCATCTTGAGTTTTGCGGTGTCTGTTTAGATCAGTGTTTCTTAACCTTTTGAAGTTTAAGATGGGTGGACTGCCATTCCCAGGATTCCAGTCCAGAAATTCCAGTCTCCCAGGACTTCAACTCTTAGAATTCTACAACTATGAAGGTTTGAAATCTACCTATCTTAAACTTGCTAAGGTTCAGAAACGTTAGTTTAGACACTATTCTATACGTGTGAAGCTAGATATCTTGAGCAACGTTCATTTGAAGCGACAGGAAGTAAAACAAGCCATGCAATCATTTGTCAATGACACTGCAAAAGAAATACTTCACAATGATTCAAATATCTTTTCAGCCAGTCAAAAAAAAAATGCCAGAATATTTAGAAGATAAGAATGACATCACAGTAGCTGGGTTCCATCTGGTAAAGCAGGGCATTTTATAATATTCTAACAAATATGCTTAGCTGAAAATAAACTCTTTTGTCTTCACTCTGTGTCATACTTCACATATCATTTGAAAGAGACTTAGAGTAACTCTTGAAGATGAAATACTCTTGAGAACAGAGGCTTACATGACATATATTTAATTAGCAACATTTAGCAATAGCAATAGCAGTAGCAATAGCAGTTAGACTTATATACAGCTTCATAGGGCTTTCAGCCCTCTCTAAGGGCTGACAGAGTCAGCATATCGCCCCCACAGTCTGGGTCCTCATTTCACCCACCTCGGAAGGATGGAAGGCTGAGTCAACCTTGAGCCGNAAAGGAGATGAGCACCACCCCCTAGAGTCAGGAACGACTAACACATATGTGCAAGGGGAACCTTTACCTTTATCTTAAGAGTTTGAGTATTAAACTGGAGTTTGTTTTGTCACTCAATTTAAACCTCTGTAACTATTCATAATAATATTCAGCATTTAAATATTAAACATCAGTCAGAGTGTTTTCTTTTATGGGAAGCATTTGGATTAGCAGAATAATTCTGTTGTTCTACTAGTTTCTTGGTATGGTCAAATTCAGTAGAGCACCTGCTAAATTCAGAGGAAGCGATGATTAAAACATTATCCTTTGTTAGAAAGGAAAGGAAATGCCATTTTACTTTGCAAATATAAAAATTATAATATACATGTTTTCTTGTGCAAAAACTTTCTTCAATAAGCTATTTGATTTCAGCTTCTGGAAATTCCTGAACATATTAGATTAAGCAATATCTGATGCTGAAGTAGTGGATACATGGGGAGCCTGGGTACACGGAGACTGCTGTAGAAAGGCAACATTGTTGTGTCAATAATATTCTTCTAGTTAATTAACTTAACTAGATTTAGAAGTTGTTCAAGAAAATAGAAAAAATGCTATATATACCTCCTCTGAGTTCCTGAATGAAAGGGAAAATGTAATGAATCGATGAAGAATTTAAGCAACAAATGCAAAGCATATATACCATATCTTGTTTCACTTTCTTTTTGTAGTTTCTACTGGCTAGATAAAAGGATACTTCTTGGCTCAAATATAATTATTTATGCCTGAACTAATTTACACCATAAGTTCTTTCCCTTAATGCAATGGTTATTGCAATGGCTGTCCATTGAGTTATATTCCAATTTAATTGCTAGGTGGAATTACCCAGGCAAAATTATTTTCATACATTCAGTGCAAATAAAACTGGTTGATTGTGCATGTTTAATTTTGAAGATCATATGCCGGTGATAGCTGTAAGAACTACCATTAAAATAATGTCTTCTAAGCAATTTTAGTGTTATTGTACAACTCTGAATTTCTGTGTTTATATTGGCCGTTTAAATGCATTTCTATTTATATGGATACTTGATACAACTAAGTGTTTTTACTTTTTTTTAGAAGCAGGTGGTAAAAAACTGAAGAGTACAGTACAGAGAAGCACAGAAACTGGGTTGGCTGTGGAGATGAGAAATTGGATGACACGTCAGGCCAGCAGGGAGTCTACAGATGGCAGCATGAACAGTTATAGCTCAGAGGGAAAGTAAGTCCTGACTGTAGTTGTAAGTAAATATCTCTCAACCAAATGTCATTGATTTAAATTAGGTTTTAGATCACAACATTGCACACGAACATGCATCATTCTAAATCCCAGTGAGGTTAATTGAATGTAGAATTATCATTTTTAAAAAGCAATAAATATGATTCTCCCTCTCTCTCTTGATACCCGACTTCCTGTCCAACAAGAACTAGATAGACACTAGATAGACAGACAGACAGATATATAGATATGAAATAAATANAAACAGCTGGAGCCTGTTCCCAGTGTGTGCATGCGCAGAGTTGACAGACGAAGGGAACAGCTAAAGAACATGGGTCGGCTTGGGAGTAAGGCCACAGGTGGACGGTGAATGGCCCCTCCCAGAGGAAATAAAAGAGGAGCAAAGGGGGAGTGGAGTTTGCAGGAAAACATTAGTTCGCATAATTGGTTTGTGATTCTCCGAGACTCTTTGCCAAGTTTTGCAGATATCGGCCTGTCAGCTCTTCAAGCCAGATAAGGTTTGTGATGGTAAATCCTCCCTTAAAAGACTTTGTTGGATGTGAATGAGCAGAATTCACAGTAAATTACGAAAAGGGTTTTTTGTCAGGACAAGGAATTTGCTTCATGTTCTCGGGAAGCCTTGGTCAGAACAATTCTTTCCTGCCTAAGTTTCATGACAACTGATGTTTAGAAGAGCAGTGTTTCTAAACATTACAAAATAAAATGGGAGGGTGGGGGAATGGGTACATCTGGCTGGAAACTACAGAAGACATGATCATAATTAAGCAAATAGGAGGAAGGGCAAATAACTACATCCATAGCTTTTGATGTTCAATTTTGGATGCTTTTGAAGGTGTATCTGAAGATTACTTGTTACTTGGAACACTGCAAATTTGGCATATTTAAATCTTTTTGTAAAACCTAAAGAGGATTATTTCTCATTTCCCCCCTTCTTTGACTTGTTTCTGGCAAATATACAAAAACTTACTTTCATATATGCATATACTGTACTTTTAAATTTGTGTGCAAAGAAATGTGTATTAAATAGGGGGAGAATACTCAAGATTGGTAGGGATTTTGTTATTTACTCAAATTTTCTTTTTGAAAATTTGTCCAGAAAGTTGGCATGCAAAAATATGAACCCATAACTAAAAAAATGTTTCAAGGAGTTAGAAAACTGTACTTATCTAAATACATTTTTAGAGGATAGAGATTAATCACCTTTCCCATATACTATTTTGAGGAAAAGCAACAGAAGTATTTTAATGAAGAATAAATTAACTTTATTCCTGTGGTTTGTAGCTTTAAAAACTGCAAAGGGGAAACTGTTGTAACACTGAAAGGTTGACTGTTGAATCACAAGTGTATCAAATATTTAAAATCACAGTCCCTTGTCATCATTGCTCCATATGATAGATCATTTTCTGATATCTTACATGTTGAAATTTAGCAAGCTTTCTATAGCGAACCATTTCCTAACTAAGTATAGTCCCAGTTCTGCATTGTACTTTATGCTGCAAGATATAAAAGCAGATGCACCAGTTTGGATATGCTTCAAAACATATTAAGATATACATTTACATAAATTCTATGCTTGCTACACTTCCTCTTAGATGAGTACATTATTCAAGATTTAACACTCATTTCATTCTTCACAATTAAAATATTTAAATTTGAACTCTTGAATAATTATTAACACACATATATACAACTTTGTTACTATGTGGGTTTTTTAGTACACTGCTTAGAATAATTCAGGATTGGAACAATTGATAAATGCAAAAAAAAAACCAACTTAAGAGTTTGAGTGTCAGGAACATGGTGGCTCAGTGGCTAAGACCCTGAGCTTGTCGATCAGAAAGGTCAGCAGTTCAGTGGTTTGAATCCCTAGTGCCGTGTAACAGAGTGAGCTCCCATTACTAGTCCCAGCTTCTGCCAAACTAGCAGTTTGAAAGCATATAAAAATGCAAGTAGAAAAATAGGGACCACCTTGGTGGGAAGGTAAC